ATATATGGGATAACAATCGAACCAAATCAAAAATAACAAAAAAGGATGCTGAGGGATATGTTTATAGTTTTTTTGTTTTTAGTTTCCACCCTGTTTCTTAGGCATCACTGGCATCATTCGTATATTACAATAACACAATCATTAAAGGATTGATGACCGTTCCCCAAGACGGACATATTTCATCCAACAACGTGTCCCTGTCAACATAGGTTCCATGAATAAATGATCATTTTCAAACATAACGATCCTGAAACTGGTTGGTGGTTTTAACCATCTTGAACAATATTAGTAAATGGGAAGGATTATCCCATATATTAGGGGGGAAAAACATGTTTGAAACCACCAACAGGAAACGTTTGGCAACATTTTATTGGTAAGAACTGTTCGAATCCTGGATGATTGTTTCCAAGAATAGCGACCTATAGCGCTATCGTGATAAAATCTGCCAAACATGGGACCCAACCAAAAGTAATGTCCAAACCAAAATGTTCCCCAAGGTTCCCCTTTTTTCCCCAGTACTTTTCAATAGCCTGTGTATTTACATCATTCTTGGTAATTTGACAACCCCAAAGGTCACATTTTTTACGACAGTGAACATGATTGAAATTTGTTTGTTTTTTCCGAGCAAAATTCATCATCAGTCCCTGGAAACCGCACAAACAAAACCTACGAAATCTCCGTTGACCCACTGAGCGTTGAATGAGGGGCTCTCAATGGTTGTGGGACCACCCTTGTAAGATTGACTGGAACTTGCTCGGCGCCATTTTTCGGGATACCCCTTAGAAAATGGCACAACTCCCTGGTTCTGGTCGAAAAATTATAATTCCAAAAGGCTGGTCTTGTAAAATTGGGCCGGTCCCTCTAAAGTGTCCCGAAAAACGTAGCATAGTTTGATAGACTTTATCAAAGGAAGTTTAGAATCAGCGGCTGCAGCACCCATTGACATCACTTGTGCTTTGGAACATGATCAAAACATATCCAAAAATAAGCATCACAAATCACAAATCAGAAAAACAAATTGAAAGCTGGGTCTTGGCAACCCAAGACAAAGTTACTCTGGAAAACCATTGAAACTTCAAAGCTCAACAGTTAAGGCCATTTATTAGTTATAACTGGTTATAAATGGGATTATACAGTATTATACATTCTATAAATATCTATAAATGGGGTTATAAGTACTTATAACTGGTAAAGGGCCATAACTGTGGAAAGCCATTGAAACTTCAAAGCTCAAGGGACTCAAGGGGTCACTCTGGACCACCACGGAGTTCTTGGAACTGCCATGGAGTTCTTGGTTTCCGCTCCCGGCCCAACGGCGCTCCCGTTACGGAGTCCACCACTCCGCAAGGTGGTGCCCCAGTGAGCGATGAAAATCGCTAAGTTGGTTTATAATAACTCCAATAACTATGGTATATTGTAGAGTTACTGGAGTTATTATAAACCATAGTTAATCATGGTAATCCAATAACCATAGTTATTATAACTCCAATAAACTCAATGTCAATCCAATAACTATGGTATATTGTAAATATATTGACATAGCTATGGTTTATAAACCAACTTATAACCATCACTGGACAGCACCACCTTGTAGGAATCTGTAGATAACGACAAAACTATGTGGTGGTAGCTGTATCATCCGTTGCTTTGCTTGAGGATCCCCAGTCTTCGTGGATTTCCAATAGGGCAATATTCAAAAACACATCTTCAGCAGATCCAAGTCAGTACAGGTAAAGTCCTTAACAGTTATAACAGGCTTTTAAAAAAATGTTTAAATATAACTATGACTATAACTTTAGTTGCAGGAGCTATCTCATGCCACGGCCATAACTATTAAGGGCCATAACTCTACAACATATAATGTGGGTAAAACAATTTCATAACCATCCCCCAGTCATCACATTTTTTATAGGTGCTATGTTTACCATTCCCAGTCATGGGTTGTTTATGGCATTGTTTTACCCACATTACAGCCAATTATTACCAGTTATAACTAGTAAATCAACTATACATCTCATGAAATAACAATTTTTCTTGGTTGAATCATCATTGTTCCTATGGTTTCAAAAAAAAAAAACTACGGTTTTCCTATGGTTTTCCCATGATTTTGCAATGGTTTTAGCGCTTTGGTAGGGCCCATTTTCCTATGAATCATGTACAAATGAGAGCCGGACCGTCAGAAGGAACTGTCCAGGAAGGCCGCCGATTTGGTCAAACACCGGTGTTTTGGACAGTCCCCTGTGACATTGGAAACCGTCGAACCGTTTGGTGGTTTCATCGAAAATACATACAGACACACAGATAGATAGATAGATAGATAGATAGACAGATAGATAGATAGATAGATAGATAGATACATATAGATAGATACATATAGATAGATACATATAGATAGATACATATAGATAGATACATATAGATAGATAGATAGATAGATAGATAGATAGAAAGAAAGATAGATAGATAGATAGATAAATAGACAGACAGACAGATACATAGATCAGATAGACAAATAGATCGATAGACAAATAGATCGATAGACAAATAGATCGATAGACAAATAGATCGATAGACAAATAGATCGATAGACAAATAGATAGACAAATAGAAAGACAAATAGAAAGACAAATAGATAGATAGATAGATAGATAGATTGATTGATTGATTGATTGATAGATATATAGATAGATCGATTGATAGATAGATCGATAGATAGATAGATGGATCGATAGATAGATGGATAGATTAGTAGATTAGTAGATTGGTAGATTAGTAGATTAGATAGATAGATAGGTAGATAGGTAGGCAGGTAGATAGGTAGATAGGCAGACAGATAGATAGATAGATCGATAGGTAGATAGACATGTATCTAAATATTCACGTGCAAATACATTTACATATATCATGCACATTAATGTGTATTATATATGCGTAAACGTTACAATTGCACATCCTATTTATCTATATGTTGAAGCATATTTATAATACATTAGCGTACCTGTTTATGTTGTACATGTACTTATATATATATATTTATTTATTTATATACATACAATAATTGGGTTTTTCCAAGTCGCCAAGAAATCATGAGCAAGTGCTTGGCAGCAATGCCATTCAGAAGCTGTTTATCAAGACATACTTCCAACCACCAAACAGCAAAAGTTGCAAGTGCTGCAAAGTGCTGCTCTATATACAGTCGCGCGGGGTCAAGGTGAACCAATATTCGTTCATGACGCGACATACACTTTCATAAAACAAAGCAAAAACGGATCAGAGTAGAGATCTATGTTCAGCCACGGGCTTGCACGCGTCCGCAAGCAGCGATTTGTTCTGCCGTGCATGAGACGCGGGGCACGACGCTGAGGATTATGGACCGAGAAGGCCACTGGAGAACAACTCCGGCGTGACCATCCATTTCTCCGGGAAAGTCAAGTAGAAGAATTCCATCAGGTTCTACGATACTCTAAGGGAATACGTAGGCAAAGTTCGTTTCATACATATGTCATCATATATCTTAAATTTCTCTGGCAAAATCATGTTATCATTGTCATGGCAGTCATGGCATCTTCTTTGAACCACCAAACATCTTGGCAAGATTTCAAAAACCAAGATATTTCAGCAACCTCAAAGGTGCTCTTCGGAAAATCTTAAATTTTCTTACTACTCAGATCGGCATCGAAAAACAGCAATTTTTGTCATGTCGACTGTCATGTCGGAGATCTAAAAAACACATGGGTAATGTGCAGTCTGAAAAGCTTGGAAAATGATGAGTTCATGGTATCAATGGTGATTTTTCATGGGATTGGGAATTTGATGCACAAGTTCATGGTCGACTTGATCATCCTTTTTTGTTCGATCGTTCACATCACAGCAGTTAAGGCCATGGCTATTAGTTATAACTAGTGATTTCTATGGGATTATACATTCTATAAATGGGGTTTTGTTAGTACTTATAACTGGTATTTCGGGCCATAACTGTGGGGGGTACCACATTGTAGCGTTTTTAGTTGGGGTCTAGAAAAACCACAGCCATGGAATATTTCTCACTGGTGAGTTCCTGGATGATATTCCATGGCTGTACTGGATGATCAATGTATGGAAATCCATCATATGTATAAATATATATATATAATATCCTCTGGTAAACTAACATAACTATAACATACCCTCTGGTAAACTAACATGACTATGGAAAATCACCATATTTAATGGGAAAAACAACTATAAATGGCCATTTTCAATAGCTATGTTAAATTACCAGAGGGTAAATCACAATTCTTAATATGTAAATCAACTATTAATGGCAATGTTCAATAGTTTTGTTAGTTTACCAGAGGGTATCATATAATATTCCGACTCACCTTGAACCCTTTATATCACCGTAAAAAAAAGTTTTTTCATGGATCCTTTTCCGGTGATTTCTATTACTTCTAAATGGTTGGTTTTCTATACCGTATCTTCGATACAAGGTCCTGGTGCCCCCCCCAATTATGTTTGTTGGTTTATAAGCCATAGCAATTATGGATATATCCACCATAGCGACTTAGCTAACTATGGGGCACTACCTTGTACAATTTAGGAAATTCACCAACGTATACCAAAGAAATAAACAGTGTCTCAGCTTTTTGTAGGTGAGATATCCAGATATCCCCACTGTTCTTGGTGGATATTCCAGTATATTTGTAGGTGAGATATCCAGATATTCAAACCTATTTCAGGTGGGCGGTGTCAAGCAGCCAGAAACATGTTACGTAGTCACATGGGGTCATCATCCAAACATGTCGTATATCTATGCTATACATGTATATATATATATGATAATTATATATATGATATACATATATATATATAATCATTATTATTATTATTCTTATTATGTAGATGTGAATATATGTGAATGTATTTGTTTCATGACATTTCATCCAGGTACATATCAGTTACCACCAATCATTTTGTTGAAAAAAACACTCTATAATTACTACGAGTATCTACTAATTTCACATGCCTTGACTTGACCAAAGTCATCCTGGATTTGCTTAACGCCAAGGTTGCATGGATGCAACCTTGCTGAAATGGGTGGTCCTTCTTGCAAGGTTGCACATGTAGTGGAGTCTCCATCGGGTATAAATACTTAAAAATATGGTGGTATCCAAAAATGGATGGTATATAAGGGAAAATCCGATCTAGAAATGGATGATAAATCGGGGTACCCCCAATTTAGGAAACCTCCATATAGATTCCTGGTTTTTCCACCGAATTCCCTGTAGATCTTCCCTAGCTTTCCAGCAAATCCGAGGCTTAGCTTCGCATATTTTCGCTGCCCAACTCAACGCCAGGACGCCAGCACCTTGCGCTTAGCCCACGAGGAACCATCCTGGGAGGTCAGCTGCCAGCTGCCCTCGGGAACTAGAGGATATCAGGCGGGTAAAACAATGCCATTAATAAAACTTCCCCCAGTCGTCACCATCTTTTATAGGTGGTATGTTTACCATTCCCAATAAATTGTGGTTTATGACATTGTTTTACTCACATTAATAAGTTTTGAAGGGATTTAAGGGAATCTATTGTTTTTGAGGGATTTTTTCATGGGATTTAACAAACTATAACATGTTGGATACCAGGGATATGTCATGGGAATCTGAATGGAATATTCATGGAATATTGGTTGAGAAAAACCTTCCAGTGCCATCCAGCGTGGCTAACTGGACATTCCCGGACTAGCCATGGAGCTTTGTAACTGGGCAATCATTGATCTTAAAGGGGGGAGTTTCCATTGCCATGTTTGATTACCGTACAGTTATGGCCCAAAATACCAGTTATAAGTCAGTTATAACCTCATTTATGGAAGAGTAACCACATTTATAACCATTTATAATCGGTTATAACTGGTAAAGGGCCTTAACTGTAGGGTGAACAAATTTTCAGAATGTGTTTGGAGAAACGATGGCTGCAAACCACTGGCGGCTTCGCCGTGAAAAAATCCTTGAGTTTCTGCGAAACCACCCTACAGTTAAGGCCATGGCTATTAGTTATAACTGGTTATAACTGGTATTATAGGGATTATACATTCTATAAATGGGGTTTTCTTAGTACTTATAACTGGTATTTCGGGCCATAACTGTAGTTACTAAGTTCAAAGGCCATTTCAGGAACCTAAATTGGAGGTACCTACCATATATAAGGCCTATTTGTCAGGCCTAAATTTCAGGGAATATCCCCACAAAATATGGCCAGACATATGGTACACTACCTCCATTTTAGGATCGCAGGGGCAATGTCCAGCCATGGGCAGCCATGGCCGCTAGGGCCTAGGGTGAAGCAAGAAGGAATGGGATAAAATCACAGATATGGCCCGCCAACAGGCCATGGGATGAAACTCCTTTAGCCAAGCTTATGCAAATTATATATATGTGTATATGTATATATATATATGTATATATATATATGTATATATATAATATATATATATATATATTCACTATTATTCACTTATAAAATCAGGTATTTCTGTTCCGTCAGAAATTAACCTTGTGAGTGATAAGGCCTACGTATAACTGTATGGGGATATGATGGGATAAGCAAAATAAATAGTGGATTCTCAAATGTGACCATCAATAATGGGGACTTCTTGAGATATGACTTTTTGGATTAACCACTCTAAAACATCTGGGGAAACCACCTAGAATCCCATTGATCATCACTAAATCCCAAGCAAATTGCTAGTGAACTACTGATGAAGTACCCATAATTATCCATATTTTGGGTTGTTTCATCCACTTTTCAACCCGATGTAACCCCATTATATATAAACCGCTGCCGAACTTACGGCCCGTCGGCCCGAGGTACGCCACGTACGCCAATTCCGGCGGTACGAGTTCCGGCGGGTTCCCGCGGCGCTTCGGCGGGAAGCACAAAGCAATTCGTTTCGCTGCTTTCAACCTACAGTTTTTTGGCCATGGCTATTAGTGAGTTATAACTGGTGATTTCTGTGGTGATTAATAGTGGTTAATAGTGGTTAATAGTGGCTAATAGTGATGAATGATGGTTATATAGTTATAACTGGTGATTTCTATGGGATGAGAAACATTCTATGTCTATGGGGTGACTTGTTAGTACTTATAATTGGTATAACTCGGGCCATAACTGTATGTGATTGCGCCATGAAAATTGTGATTCAAGTGGGGATATAATGATATAATTAGATATCATTGGAAAAACCATTAGATATCAAATTCAGATGGTGGTTGAAGTGGCAAATCCATTGTCATTGCGGCAAAATTTGAAGATCGTGATTCAAGTGGCTTTTTCTGTGCCAACCATCTTCAAATGGGGATATGGATATCATTAGATTCCAATGGGGTTCGTGATTGTAGTCGGGACTGGGAATAACCACAAGAGCACTTTTAAGCGGGATTCTTCGCAGTTTCCGATTTTGGTTGTTCAACCAATAAACAGCAGGATCGAATATCTAACATATGAGTGAGCGAATTTGATTCTGGTTGGTGGTATACCCACCCCTCTGAAAACTATGAGTTCGTCAGTTGGGACTATGAAATTCCCAACTGAATGGAACATCATAAAATTCATGTTCCAAACCACCAACCAGGATTAATATTGAATGATATTCCCATTGTATCCCCAATAATTTTAATATACCACCATTATTGCCTAGAGGATATGAACCCGCTATATTTCATGGTAAAAAAAAAACATGGTTTCATCGTCATTGCTGAGACTTCAACGGGGAGTTCGCCAAGGGATTGTCGTGCCCGTGTCGTCATGGGTGAAAATGGTGACAGAACAGGGTGACCTTTTTGAAGTTATGGCCCGAGGTGCATACCACTTTTGGCCGTCAGTGAAATCACCCCATATGGAGTCAGTAACCACATTTAGTTCACCATGTATAACCCTCATTTATTTATGGAGTCAGTAACCATAGAGATAATAACCAACATGGTGGAGTCAGTACATTATAACTCACATAGAAATAACCATAGAAATCACCAGTTGTAGTTGGCATAACTCGGGCCAAACAAATGTATAATGGAGATGAGTCGCAGGCACCTGACTTAGGATCAGGGTGAACCCTCCAACCCCCATTTCGGTGTAACCCTTCTGATTAAATAGGGCTTATTGACCACCAAAAACCACCAAACGTTTTTTGGGGCGAAGCCCTTCGCCATGTTTTTTTTGGCGACCTTTGGGTGGTTGAATCCCCATTATGTTGAAACGTGCTCAAAAATGCTCAAATGCACAAGCATGGTACAGTCAAGGCCATGGCTATTAGTTATAACTGGTTATTTCTATGGGATGAGAAACATTCTATAAATGGGGTTTTGTTAGTACTTATAACTGGTATTTCGGGCCATAACTGTATTCTGTTGCTCCACTGAAACATCATCGGCTTGTAGCCTGCGTCAACAAATAATGGTACCGTGGCCATAAATAGATACGTCATACGTTGTAGATATATTCCAATACAAGTCTATCTCTATAGATTCCGTAGAATGTGGTACCCCCCAGTGATGTTTGTTAGTTTATATAACCCCCATCAACTAGTTCGATATATCTACCATAAGTCCTACTTATTGTAGTTATAAACCAACTTGGCTATCTTGGGGGCACCACTATGTAGAATGTTTCATTTACGTTTTTAACCAACAGAAATGGAATGATGATCGCTACGAGTATCAGTTGGACCATTTCTTCATGAGTTTCAGCCCATTTGAAGCCCCCGTTTTCTACGGTCCAAGCGTACGGTCCTGGCATCTTCTTCTTCGAGCATTTCGATGTGGATCAATGGGAATAAAAAAGGATCCTAAAATGGAGGTACTTTAGTACAATGTGAGGCCCCCAAGATATAAGTTGGTTTAGATTCGCCCCAGTAACATATAGTTATAAATACCATAAACCATAGTGAAATTGGAGTTATAAACCAACTGAACGCTATCGACTGGGGGCCTCACATTGTACCATATTTTTGGCAATATGTCCTGGGCATATTCCCTGAAATTTGGCCCTAAAAAATAGGCCTTATATATGGTAGGTACCCCCCGCCGAAGACACGGCCTCATGCGGCTATGAGTCAACAAATGTCAACAGACTCATACTTTGCCCCGTTAAGAAAACAAAACCAGCTGTCTTTCCTTTAAAATAAGGCTCCGTTGACTTGAGGTCCGATTGAGGTCCTAGACGATATTAAGCATGATATTATATCATAATATGCGAATATACCTAAACCATCCTAAACCCTGTGAGTCAACATGTATTCCTTTTGGGGTCCAAAAGCCACCAAATTTTGGGACCCGAAATGTAATTTTGTTCGGGGTCATCGGGGCCAGACTTCCACAAAAACAGGTCGCAGCTGAGAGAAGTTTGCCCAAACGTTTTGACCCATGAAACCATGAAACTTGGATATAGTTGACCTACAGTTCTGATGAACTAGTCAGTCGCCACCAAACTATTTGGTTTCTTTGATATCTCTAATCTTATCTGTAGATTCTACATAGTAACCCGAAGAAATTGTGGATTCCATGATGATCTCCGTATTTCCAATGATTACCCTCTGGTAAACTTTCACATCACTATGGAAAGATCCACCCATTTTTTCATGGGATAACTCACTATTTCTATGGCCATGTTCAATAGCTATGTGGCCGGCACATCTTCCTACGGCACCACTCGGCCTCCAGTGATTTTTCTTCAAATGGCCGTTGAGATGGGCCAGTTTTACGAATCGTAAATGGATGATGATTGGGAATCGCTTATTGGTTAACTTATGAATGGTTATTATATGTTATTATACTGTATAACGGCTCTATAACCCACAAAAATTGTTATACAATGGTTATGGTTATATAAATTGCTATTATATAATGGTAAATAATGGTTATATAAGCCACAAAAATGGTTATAGAATGTTATTAACATGGTTATATCATGGGAATCGCATATGAATGGAATATCAATGATGATTTTTCAGCCACAAAACCGAACAACTCATCAGGAATTGCGTTGATTAATTTTTCTCATGGCCCCCTGGCGCACCACCCCGCGGATCCGATTCAGATGACAATGACAATTCGATTCAGGGTGCCCTATAGGGATTTCACTGTAGCTTCAAACCATAGGAAAACCATAGGAAAATGGTGGTTTAATGGGATTTAATGGGATTTAATGGGATATACCATCTGGTTATGACTAACATAGCCACGGAAAATCCCTCATAAATGGAAGTTTGAATGGGAAAATCATTCATAAATGGACCATTTTCTATGGCTATGTTAAATAACCAGAGGGTATAATAAGTGATAACTTGATAACCAGATTAACCATCAATACCCTCTGGTAAGCTAACAGTGAAAAACCCTGACAATAATCCATTTTTAGTGGAAACTCATCTGAAAACAATCCCTATCTGCCAGGGTCGAACTGTTAATTTACTGGAGGGTAATATGTAACTATATACGTAACCATCCTGGAGCACATGGAATGACATTGGACATGAAACACAAAGTTGGACATGAAGTTGAAAAATCCATATTCTATCTACTTCAGGATGAGTGTATATATATATATATAGAATTACATAAAAGTATTATGATTTAATAGGCACATATATGGTCCGGAAATATGGCAAAACAAAAGAGAAATGTGGTACGTAAAGCCAAATGCCATAAACCCAAAGTTAAGGCCCTTTACCAGTTATAACCGATTATAAATAGTTATAGATGTGGTTACTCTTCCATAAATGAGGTTATAACTGACTTATAACTGGTATTTCGGGCCATAACTGTACTATTTGGGGGGTATAATTACCACCCATTTGTGATGATTTTTTGAGGATGCTTTCAGTGCCAATCTTAGATACCCTCCAAAAAATGACAAATCTTAGCTGGTGAACGTAGATAATCCCATTGATACCAAAAGACTAAAGGATTAAAGTACCCATCAAACGTTGATCATGGATTATGATGGGCATATTTTTGGTCGGTTACATAACCCACAAAACCAACAAAACCAGGAATCGCTAATTTTTCAAATTTTCTGGATGGTTTTTTTCTGGCTTTACCAGCATCACCACAGGCGACCCAGCTACCTTTCTGCCAGGCTTTCTGAAGTAGTTCCAGAAGCGTTGCGTCAACCCAGCTCCTCCGGTTCCTGCACATTTTACTGAAATAGAACTAATAGTATTATTATTATTATATTTATCCATAGTATTTATAGTATTAAAACCCATATTTATCGTATTTATGAATTATTAACCGTCCAAAACAATTGGGTACAGAATTTTGATCCATCCTCTCATGGACCTAAGTTTATTGGAGCTGGCCGTGGTTTTGAAATAGGCCATGTTTAACATACTGACGCTAAACGTAGGGAATGGATGGGTTGCTGGTGGTTGCTGGGATTATTATTGATAGTTGGCCAGTGGATCATTCCCTACTACGCACAAGTAAAATAACCACAAATCACAATGAAAACAACAAAACTAATCTGTTAACAAAATCAATGTAAGTGACATAATTCATAACCACTGAACAGAAATGTTGACATTTTGAGGATCTAATCAACAATAACATGTCTTCACAATGAACCTATGATAGGTTTTAATTTGCTTATAACTGCTGGATAGCAAACAGAAAATAAGGATTTACCTGCAAAAGTATGGGTTTCACAAACAGTTTGGCGATATCATCAAAATTGGGGTTTGGTGCAGTTACTGGCATGAGAAGTCAACCATGTTCCCTGTCCATGAATATGACCAGCCAGTGGGAAAACATATACTGGAACTTGCAATCCTGAGGATGTCCCACAATCACTGGAATGTTGCTGAGTCGAACCATGTAACATATACGTATATATATATAATCACCACATTTTAAAACATATTGAAACCTACTTTGTGCAGGATTGAATCCATAAGTATGGTGAGCTTTTCACTTTTAGGCATTTTTTCATGGCGATTCAACAATCCCCAAACAGACTCCGAAAAATAAGAGTTTATCAAGGGTTTATCAACCACCAACAACTGCGTTACACCAAAGGCTTATAACTATCTATCATTGGAGGGGGGCGCCCCGGATGGGGGGGCTAAATCCCAAAAACAGTTGACCAACTGTTGCTGGCCAGTTTAAACCCCAGACACACAAAAATTTCCAAACCGCGGGCTACTGCCGGGTATGAAATGGACCTTCTTAACAAAATAATCGCTCCAATCCTATGTTTTTTCCTTTGATATCCGACCCTTTTTCAAAAAAACATACCCACAACTAACATACTCAATAAAACAAAAAAAAACATAAAACTAACAAAAATATACAAAAATCACCAAAACAATCCTTACAAACCCTGAAGATTCCCGCCCGCCACCATTGGGTACCCACCGTTGCTCCTGCCGTTCCGGGTGATGTGGTCGCGGGGCTAGGCACATTGGTTCCCTTGGAGGCATTGCTGAGTGTGGCCCCAGTGGCACCTGTACACTCCTGGAGCCAGGCTCGGGTCGTGGGAAAAAATGCGATCCTCCAAAGATCATGGGAAAAAATATGGGAAAATGGAAATTATATAGGTTTTTTGGTTGGGAATTTGAAGGGAAAATTGGGAGTTAGTGACTAGATGTGGGAAGTGTCGTGGGAAAAAATGGGAGTTACATTCATACATGGATTTTGAAGACCCCCATTGTTTTGTTGGTTTTTGTGGGTTTAACCCATGAGTACCTTTTGTTAAATCACCTGGGCCAAACGTTAACCTAGATCGACTTAACTATCGTTTGGGGGTTTCACCTTGTAAGGGATATGATGAATGTCAAAGGATAAGACAATTAAAATGACATATAGCATATGTATATTTAAAAACAATATAGATAAATATCATAAATAAAAAAAATACAATATATATAAAGAACAATACATAGTATTTAAGTATACTCTAATATTACATAATATAAAATAACATAATATAAGATAAGATAATATTAAAACAAGTGAACAAAATATGCTAGGAAATACAGTTAAAATTTGATAACGGAAAAATATAATACAATATATTCTATCAAAAACATGTATTTATAATATGAATATATATATATATATATGATGTAAATATATATATATATCGATAAATATATAGAGATATGTGATGCATAGAAATAAAAAAAATCTGATGTAACACTAATAACTCTATAAATATTTTTATATGATATATAAAAATAAATAATACACGCACGTATGTATGATAAATATCAAATATGAATAAATATAAGTATCTATGTTTGATATATATATATATATATTAGCTAAACTTACTCAAAAACTCGCTGCCGTGGATATGTTGAAAACCGCACGAAGAGTTAGCGGGGGGGCGAACGTAGGGGCGAACATGCGGGCGAACGGGTGGACGAACGTCGCCCGCACGAGCGAGCGGGGGGGCGAGCGGGGGGGCGAGCGGACGGGCGAACGATTTGACTAGTCTTGTTTTGCCTGGTGATAATTAGTACAGTCAACCTGTGCCGAAATTATTTTACACCTACTTATACAACCCAAGAATACTGGTACAAAGTTGTTGGTATTCGAAACCCGTGCAATTTTGAGGGCGGGCCCACCCCCTTGAGGGCGCATTAAGGGGTCGCACGAAGGGGTCGCACATACGCATGTACGCACGTACGTACGCATGCACGCACGCACGTTCATGTGCATGTACGCACGCACGTTCACATGCATGTTCAGAAATAAGGTTATTCTGTACGACCCTAAGCCTCCTAAAGCATATTTAGTATTAGGAGGTCACTTTTCAAAGGTAACCTTATTTCTGAACATGGGTCTGAACATGGGCTTGAACATGGGTCTGAACATGGTACCTACGTACGTGCATACGTGCGAACGTACGTGCGTACGTCTGTGCGTACGTATGTGCGTACGTATGTGCGTACGTGTGTGCATGTGTGCGTTCGCCCCCCCGTTCGCCCCCCGGTTCGTCCCCCCGTTCGCCCCCCCGTTCCCCCCCCGTTCGCCCGCCGTACCCTCGCTCAGATGGCCGTACGCCCCCCCACGTTCAATACGTCTAAATAACTTCAAAAACAGGCCGCAGCGACCTTTTGGGTTTAGCTAATATATATATATATGTATAAACATAAATATATATAATAAAAAAATAAAATAAACATGATGTCTAAATATGATCTATATATAAATATATAAAGAAAATCATATATGGCGAAACCATTATATATATATATATATATCACATATATCAAATCTATCTACCTTTATATAAATATAAACTTCACATATATCAAAATAAATATACATATATATCATATATACATATATATGATATATAAACATGTGAGGCCCCCCCCACACGATATGGATTTAATGGATTTTAATGGAATAATTATGAAAATACTAAGATATGATGGGGAAAACAAGGGGTGGCAAATGTCCTGTTTTTTTCACAACTATTGGGGATAGCCCATCTCTAGCAGATACTTGAAAGTAATGTTCAAAATCCACACAACAGGACATTTACTACCAACCATTGTCATATACCATAATATCCCTGTAATTATGCGGACGTTGACCAAGTTTCTTGGCTACTTGGAGGGTCTGAATACCAAGTCAGTTTATGGAATATACTGAACAGTGGTACCACCTATCGTGGCGTTAGTTGGTTTATAAACCTTTCTTCTTATTGGCTATGGAGCAACTGAGCAAACTATGGGGCACCACCTGGGATAACTAGGTGGATGTCATGAACTAGTGCAAAGGACCCTACGAACGAATAAACAAACTGGGGAGCATCACTTTGCAAGGAGAAAGAACATACATTGTACATGTCCTTTGCTTACTGGTTGCTTGATCAATGTTGATGAAAAGATGATTTTTATTATCATTTATTATTGAAACCAACCAATAGGCGGTAAATGAAAATACATCATGTACCAAACGGGCCGTGATCTAAATCTTCCTAAAGGACAATTGTGGCATTGAACTGATTGAACCAACAATAGTGGAATATAATGAGCCAGATAGTGTTGGACATTTCATTCTCAAAACGTAGGGATTGCCCATGATTGCCTATTTCATGGCCAGTTGTCATAGAGACTTGGATGATTCACCAGTTGATTTTGGAGTATGCTATTTAGAAACCGTCCTTCGCAAGAGTTTGACCATCAATATACGGAATATAGACATGTTTCAAAGCTAAATACGTATGTTGTGACATCAGGTCAGCATATTTTCCTGGCCTACAAATTATGATTGCTTTGATCAGTGGCCACTTGTCGTTTAGCGTGTGCCTTCTGAACTGCATGTTGCTTGAGAAGCCATGTCTGAATCGCTAGAACTGCATTACTTCTTGCATTCATGCATTACTTGGATGTGCCGCGGAATTAGTTGATTGCTTAGTCTATATAGTTATACTCCAGAAATTAACATACACCCTGGCAGACAGGATGTTTCAGATGAGTTTCCACTCAAAATCGGTGATTTTCGGGTTGAGTGCCCACTTCTAATGTGACTACTAACCAGCCAGTTAACCCCATGGCCCATCCAAAGGGGTCGATTTTAGGATTGGTCGACTCCTCTGCTTAACAACAATCTCTCAATGCTTGTTGTTTAGGGGAAAATCAAAAGGAAATGGAAAGCACACATGGTGTACTGCAAAATGTTGTTTAAATGTGTTCCGCCCAACCCGGACGTTGCTCGACACTTGCAATCATCATCATCATAGATCATCATAGATCATCATATATCATCATATATCATCATATATCATCATATATCATCATATATCATCATCATCATCATGATCATGATCATGATCATGATCATGATTTCATCATCAGCATCTCATCATCATCATCATCATCATCATCGTCGTCGCCGTTGTCGTCGTTGTCATCGTCGACATCATCATCATCATCATCATCATCATCATCATCATCATCATCATCATCATCACCAGTGTCAGCTCATGTGGAATGGTGTAATATCATCAACTTATATGTCTTTTATTCGAAAGGGATCATAAATCCACCACCCCTCTTGCAAATATGTCAAACGGGGTACTCACATCAACTTATCTTCATAAGGGATCAACATATCCACCATCCCCTGTGACAAATATGTTGAATAAGGAATAATATCAACCCATCTTCATAAGGGATCAACAAGTCCTCCACCCCCCGTGGCAAATATACTGAATCTGATACCAGCATCAACTTATCTTCATAAGGGATGATGATGATGATGATGAGGAGGAGGATGATGATGATGATGACGATGATCATTATGATCATGATGATCATGACAATCATGATGATGATGATGATGATGATGATGATGATGATGATGATGATGATGATGATGATGATGATGATGATGATGATGATGATGATGATGATGATAACAATGATGATGGTGATGGTGATGATGATGATGATGATGATGATGATGATGATGGTGACGACGACGACGACGACGATGATGATGATGATGACGACGACGGTGACGATGACAATGATAGTGGTGATGATGATGATCATCATCATCTTCTTCTTCATTATCATGGATCACATATACACCTACATACTGAAAGTCCACCGACATGGCATTTCAAAAATACGCAACCCTTCCGCAATTCCGGCGCGGAGCAACGTCAGGGTTTTTTTCCGAACATGTTTAAACTGGTTTTAGGAAACTTCCCACATTTGGTTCAGTCACTTCTAATTTGGTGCCATGGATTGCTCTGATTTAAAGGTTGAATTCTCTGGGTGAATGCGGTCACCCATCCGCCCATGAGGTTACCGTTGGCAAACCAGTGACACTCGGAGATTGAATCACTAGATTTGTCAGTAACACCCTGCACCTTGTTGTTCCGGTCGCAATTTTTCCTTAATTGGGGGTTCCCTATATAATAGGAGTACCCCCAGATCATCAGTGCCACATTTTGATGTTCATCGGATTTTCCATTGTAAACCATCCAGCTATTGGGGTGCCCCATGGTCAGGCGTCCTCTGGGGAACTCTTTCGAGAGTACGTTTGGTACGACGGCTCTTTCCAATCCAGGCTTGGGTCACACCTGTCCGGGCAGAACAAAACCTACCCTCTGGTAAACTTTCACATAACTGTGGAAAATCACAATTTTTCATGGGAAAATTCACTATAAATGGTGATTTTCCATAGTTATGTCAAATTACCGGAGGGTAACATGGGGGAAATGATGAAACAGGATGAAAAAGGATGCTTATCTGAGATGAACAATTTAGTGGATTCAATGGGATTCAAATTTGAGTGGGATTTAATGGAACTGAATGGTGACACAATTTTGATCAGAACATACTGGTTCTGCCTACATCCTTCAAGACTTCTATGGATTGTGCGTTGGCATCCGCGTTCAGCGACTCAAACATCTTGAAATGGATCACTCCTTTGTCTCCGCTGAAAAAAAAATCGCGGCTGACTGGGCTCACTTCGGGAAGACTTTTTTCGTGGCATGGGAACTCTGCCAATTTGAAGGGAAATCTCCCGGCGTGTGTCGAACCTGCCTTTGCACTTTGCTGTTGCCTTCTGCATGTTGTTCGTTTCCGATTTTCTTCACATCCTTTTCTGCTACTTGCCAATTGGTTTTACTTCAGGCACGGAGTTGTCTAAATAGACACACAGGCCGTCGCATGAATATCACGCTGAAGACCTAAAATCGAGGAATTGTATGGATTCATCCAAAGGCTCGGTACGGCTCGTCATAGACTGGCACTAGGAATGGCTGGAGTTAGCTCTTTTTCACCTCAAAAAAAAGTATGGGATCAGACCCCAGGTATACAAAGCAGTTTTCCCAAACCATGGTCCATCGTTAAGCAAGTCCTCCAATCTACTTCGGTAGCATGTCCCAAACCAGTGTTAAATATTCGACGGATGGGACTAATGCCATCTGATTCAACTAACCAAATCTAACGATTTGAGGCCCCCAAGATAGCTAAGTTGGTTTATAACTCCAATAACTATGGTTTATGGTATTTATAACTATATAGTTACTGGGGCTTAGAAACCAACTTATATCTTGGGATTGTAACGATTTGAAGAACATGATGCAACCAAAAAATGTGGATCCGACCAGCCAAACACATTAGTGAAGTTTTTTCACATCCCTCGCGTCTGCGCTCTATGGAAGAGTTGGTGGTTGAGGCACTCGTCCCACAATTATATAAAATTATGATATAGTCACCTCAACCAATTGGTATGGTTGAACAGTAACTGGTAGGTGGTTGAGCCTACCCCTCTGGAAAATATGAAAGTCAGTTGGGATTATGAAATTCCCAATATATGGGAAATAAAACATGTTCCAAACCACCAACCAGCAAAACATGTCCAGATGTGCGGTCACCCTGACTCTCACCACGGAGAATGCGCGTTATTTCTTCAATGATATGTGAGTCCCACCAAGACTTGGTCAACATTTGAGCGTGTCTGAAAATGGGCGATGTATACCGCCAAGCATGGGCAATTTCTGAAGCTGTGCTAGCTAAATCAATGGATTTGCAGGGGAAACCTATTCTCAAACAAACAATGAACCATGTGTAAACAAACCATGTGTAACCCAAGGAAAACCATGTGTAGACAAACAATGAACCATTGCTTCATGCTGTTAAATAAAGGTCCGCTTCTTGCCAGCGAACCAACCACCTCAATGGTGACCATCTGATGTTGAATAAGCCCTTATTGGTGGGTGTTGCTGGGTAATTTTCACCTTCAACAGACATGATATCACCCTGAAAAATCCTTAAAAAATCCCTTTATATCCCTCATATGTATGTATATATATATATATATATAAATATAATATAATATATATATATATATTCTCATTCAAAGATGATGTTCCCATTGTTCTCCCACATTCCCGTTCCAAGGGGACCCTTGATGAACTACCTGGTGAACTTCCCATTGTTCATCCAGAGAAACCCGTTAGGAAAGAGATTCTCCAATGGTTTTCCAATGTTCCCTACAGTTAAGGCCATGGCTATTAGTTATAAATGGTGATTTCTATGGGATTATACATTCTATAAATGTGGCTTTGTTAGTACTTATAACTGGTATTTCGGGCCATAACTGTATGATTTTCCTAAGACTTTCCAATGATGCTCAATATGGTATGCCATGATATGCCAAACAAGTCAGGTATATCGCCATAGAAATCATATAAATCATATATTAAATATGAAATCATGTTAATAGGGCTTAAAAGGAATACCTGCAATGGGGATTTAGCAAAGAAATAAGGGTTACCCGTTGAAGCTAGATCGAAAATCAAAGTCATCTATTTGGATATCTTGTAAATCAACTATAGGTAGAACCCCATTGCCAACAAACAAATCCCATTCTTCAGTCAATTCTAGATTCCATGTCTTGTCGTTGTCAAACCATGCAAGTTGTGGTGTGTAACCTCCGAAACCCTCTGGTAATTTAACATAGCTGTTGAGCATATTGATCTCTAGTTGATTTACCATTAGAAATGGTGATGTTCCATAGCAAACTGTTAGTTTACCAAAGGGTAAGTGTTGTTATAAACCATACTTATCGTAGTTATAACATGTTAATTGAAAATCATACTTCCCAGTAAAACCATAAATCGTAGTTTATCATAGTTTTATCAAAGTATGGTTTTTAACAACAGCTACCCTCTGGTAAACTAACCGTTTGCTACGGAACATCACCATTTTTAATGGTACCCTCTGGTTATTTAACATAGCAAGCCATGGCCTATAGAAATAGATAGTTTACCTATTAAAAATGGCGATTTTTCCATGGCAAACTGTTAAGTAACCAGGTTGGGTATAGATTTTCCCATTACATTTCCATTATATCTCCCATTAGATATCCCAATAAATCCCAATAAACCACTATATTCCATAGCAAATTCTATCATAAACCACACTTATCATCACCATTTTCCTATGGTTTTCCTATGGTTTTCCTATGGTTTTCCTATGGTTATTGTTCACCAACAACACGCCTTGGAGCCGTGAGATCGGGGAGGGAGCTCCGGCGGTCCTTGGTGATGTCGTGGGATGATACATGCCCTAAAAAGTGGAGGTTTTAATGGGAATATATGGGACATATTTCTGGAAACTATTGGTGATTTACGGGAAAAAACTAAATATATATATATATATATATGATGTATGAAAGATACCCTCTGGTAATTTAAGAGTTTGATATTGAACATGGCCCATAGAAATAGTTGTTTTACCTACTAAAAATGGTGATTTTCAATAGCTATGTTAGTTTACCAGAGGGTAATCATCCAATCACAAGCCGTTCCAGAGAACCCATCCATGTGGGGTCTCTCCATGATCCCAAATTTTTGGGTTAATGGGTGAAGAGCGGGAGAAGTGGTCGAAATGGTGATATAGTTAGATTCTAATGGGGTCATAGTCAGGATAATTGGGTTTATCACATAGTAAATGAGGCCCTAGACTATGCAAATAGATATATATATATATATAGATATAGGGGATATAGGGATATACTGGGGATTGTTCAATCGTGGAGTCCACAATCGAGTTGGCACACATTTGGTGAACATCACATCACTATAGGTGAATTCCATGGTTTAAGGTAGCTGAATCGAACTTGATTGGAACAAAACCTTTCAATAAGCATTGGATTCAGGTGAATTTACCTAGAACAATAATGATTTTATGGCGATAGTTCACAAACAAACAAGTTGTTCATTTCGCCGGCAAAAATCAGGATGGACCATGGGGTAACTATGCGACTTATATAATGAGGTTTCAATATCAGCAATAAAAGTCGTTCATTGCGAATTTGAAAACCAACCGTATAAATTGTTCTGGAGATTTAAACAAGAAGATCTGCCAGGTTCTTCAAAATGACCCCTTTGAGGTGGTGAAGTGGCCCTTTTTGTGTTTTTTTGTGACCTCGAATTGGTGGTTGAAAAGGCCACTTTGAAGAACCAGGTGGGGGGATTTTGTAGCTCAAGAATACTGGGGAACGCAAGACAACCGGTTTCAAAGATTTGGTTTCATCTCAGGTGGTCCCAAAATGAGAGAGGCAAATGGTAATATCGAAGGACATAAATTGTGAATTAGACAAGAACATTTGGATTCGTAATGAATGCATAATAATATAATAGCTAAGTTGGTTTTATAAGCAGATTAAGTGTTGGGTTTATGGCCTAGATATCCAAAAACAAAGTAGATGGATGAAACTAAGCCAGCTTATAGCTGGGGGACATCACCTTGTACATTGAATCAAGATGCCATTTCATCGCATTTGTTGAAATTAGGGAAATTGTTTCAGACATGATCATGATGACATGAGCAAAACAAAGGGTAGGAGACTCACTTAGACCCACCCGATTCGCATCACTTAGACCCACCGCATCACTTAGACCCAACACGCATCACTCAAACCCAACAAATTCGCATCACTGAACCCAATGATGATTATGATTCCATGACGCGGGTTTAAGCGATGCAAATCACGCGGGTTTAAGCGATGCAAATCTGGAGGGTTTAAGCGATACCGCAACCAAAACAAAGCTCTTAGATTTCACCGAGAAGCGCTTTCACATGATAGGTTTCCAATACATAGTGGTGCCCCATAGATGGCTAAGTTTAAGTTGGTAAACATAGCTACAATAAGTAGGACTTTTGGTAGATATATCGAACTAGTTGATGGGGGTTATAAACTAACAAACATCACTGGGGGGTACCACATTGTATGCATGTGCCTGTTTCTCTTCGGAAAATCATAAAGTTTCGAGCCCGTCAAGTTGGACTAGGTCCGTAGCTTAGGAAACAGCAGAACAATGCGCGCCATGACTGAAAACAACCAGGAAACATTGGTGCTAGAAGCAACAAACATTTTTGCTTCACTGCTATCCCAGAGTTTGGATAATTCATCCAAAAACCTGATTTGGGAGGCGAGGAACACCGACCACCGAAGGGTTTTATCGGCGTTTTTGTTCGGATCTTGGATTCAAATCACGTTTTTGCAGTTATAGCAATAGCATAGCTATACAATGCTCTATATACACATATATAGATATATACATATACATATATATATATATATACACATACATAGCAGTTTGCAGCAAATTTCCAGTAAGTTAGTTATTGCAAAAACTTCTGGGGCCCAGCTCTCGTTCATCCTCTTGGCCTGAGGCCCTGGGACAATTCATTTCGTTCGCTGATTCTCCCATATCTCCTACAGAAAAAGCGGCCCCCAGTCGATAGCCCAAGTGGCAACTGATAAGTGGTAAACTAACAGTTTGCTATGGAAAGATCCACCATTTTTAATGGCAAAATCCACTATTTCTATGGCCATTTTCAATAGCTATGTTAAATTACCAGATTGAATTCTATGGTTTATGGTAGATATAACGAACTAGTCAGTGGTGGTCATAATGGTTTATAAACCAACTTATAATTGCGGGGGCCCCATCCTGCACATATCCCAATCATTTCCCTATCCATAGATGAGTTTCACTGATTCTCCCCCAGATTTCTCCGTTGAAATCGTTATCATCTTTGCCATCTTTGGTCGTTGGTAGGATATGTCCCCTTTCACTGTTATGGCCATGGATATTAGTTGTAGTTATAAAAGGCTATTTCTATGGGATTCTACATTCTATAAATTCGGGGTTTTCTTAGTATCTGGCTGGTGGTATACCTACCTCTATGAAAAATATGAGTTCGTCAGTTGGGATTATGAAATTCCAAACTGAATGGAAACAAATCATGTTCCAAAACCACCAACCAGGATTAATATAATATTCAATGATATTCCCATTGTATCCCTAATAATTTTAATATACCACCATTCTTGTCTCATAAAGGATATGAACCCCCTATATTTCACGGTAAAAAACCATGGTATAACTCGGGCCATGGCATATTTCACCCCCAGGACACCGAAAACGCCAAGAGTCGCTCAAACGTGATCGGCGCGATGCCATCCTGAGGGCCCGACTGAAAGGATCAGTGATAGCCCTGAAGATTTATATCTCGCCAAAACCAAAAAGTTCATTTAAGTGAGAGAGATATAGAGAAAGAGAGAGAGAGAAAGAACAAAAATAATATATATATATATATATAAATCATATAACCTTAGTTACAGGAGTTCCCATCACTGGCTTATAGGGTCATAGTTGTACAAGGTAAGGCCAATAAAAAGACAATTGGTGACTTAACCAAGCCATACCAAAAAACATGTATGAAATTTGATGAAACACAATGGAAAAAATAAAAAATGTATGAAATTTGATGAAACACATGGGGAAAAAATAAACGTTGGACAAAATTAGGAAAAACCTGCCTAGGATATCTAAAAATGATGAAACAAGTGGAAACGAACATTGGACAATAAACTCCTGCAAACATGTGTGCAAATAATGCAAAACAAGGAAACATGTTGGGAAAAACAAGTCTTGGAGAGTGTATGAACACGTGCTTTGTGAGAGAAATGGAGCCATGAAAATTGGAAAGTCTTGCTCTGCATAGTTGGTTTTAATCTGGTTGGTGGTATACCTACCCCTCTGAAAAATATGAAAGTCCATGGGAATTATTATTCCCAATATATGGAAAAATAAAATTCATGTTCCAAACCACCAGCCAGTAATGTGTTTTGGAGCTGATTTATGATAACTAAGTTGACGCACATAACTTGGCGAACTATGGCAGCTAAGGATCGAACCTCTGAGGAATTCTCCTATTTTTCCTATTTCTCCTCTGCACACAATTCCATTGATATGGAACATTCACCATGAATATATCCTAGAAATTGTTTTAAAGGAAAACCAGAACCGGGAAACCCAATCAATTTGGGAGTTTTTTTTACCCTGGGGTGAAGGGCGTCTCCCAATTGCGTTGGTGTTTAAACCCCGTGGCTTGTTATATGATATTCCACATAAACCCAGACGTTGACCAAATTATGTTCCTCAATTCAGCTATTGTAGACAAGGGCCTCACCTTGCAACCAACAGAAACGGCAAGACAATGGAGATAGAATATCATGGGGATATTTTGGAATATGAATGACATACTGGGCACATATGGAAATGTATGTTTTACTCTTGGAAAAAACATGATGGACAACATGGAAAAAAAAACACATGTAACTGGGAAGTCCATGTGTTCTCCTGGGATATGTAGGATATAACTTACCAACAATCAAACCATGGGAAAAATCATCGGCCCAAATGGGGAAAAAAATCCTGCAAGCCCGGCAAGGTATCACCAAAGGATAATTATCAACAATGGGTTCAAAGTGGTGCCCACCAGTTATGTTTGTTGGTTTATAAACCATAGTAACTACCCTCTGGCAAACTAACATAGCTATTGAAAATTGCCATTTATAGTGAAAATTCCCTCGAAAATGGTGATTTTTCATAGTTACGTTAGTTTACCAGAGGGTAGTTGGATATATCTACCATAAACCCGAACGTGAAACTGGAGTTATAAACGCACCAACTTAGCGATTTTCATCGCTCACTGGGGCACCACCAACCAGGCCTGGGACTTTATGGGAATCGTGGAGATTAACCATCATAGTGATTGGTCATCGGATAGAATGGGGATATGATGTGATATTCAACCTAGTCACTTGTCTAATACAGTCTAACTAAGGTTGGTTGTTTATGTATTCAAATATTTATATGATCATGTGACTCACAACAAGCCAACTTATTGGGACTTACAGACCAACTTAAAACCGTTAACAGCCGTTTGCTTTCCCCAGATAGTGGACTTTTGTCTGGTATCAAAAAAAGGTGATTCTTGGTGGACTTAAAACATGATTATTGACCTAAACTGGCAAAACGATTCATTTCCATGTAAACTAACTTGTTGGCTGGTTAGTAGATCTTCCTATTGAAAGCAAAAGATGACAGGTGGTCCAACTACCCATGGTGAATCCCAGCCGCCCAACAAATCTGATTTTGAGCTGGTGAATCTACATGTTGCATCATTTTACCATTGAAATCGCAACAGATTGAGTTGTACTAGCTAGTATCCAATCACCAATCATCATTGCGCAACTATATCCACTCAATATCCCATGGGTATTAAAAAAAAAAAAGAAAAACGCTAACCTGAATCAGGGCCATTTGGGGATGATTTCCCTCAATCTAACCATGATTCCAGTGAGGGAGGACAGTGCGGTCGTTATAATTTACCCAGATATATGCTTGACACCAAAAGAGAGTATGTCAAAACAATCACAGGGAAAATTTCATGATACACCACTCTTGGAGTACCCAAGCGGTTAAGACCAAACCAAGTGGTTAACTGGTTGGTGGTATACCTACCCCTCTGAAAAAATATGAGTTCGTCAGTTGGGATGATGACATTCCCAATATATGGAAATTCATAATCCAGTCATGTTCCAAACCACCAACCAGATATTTTCATGTCGATTGGGATTGTCATCCCATTTCTAGGCTTGGACATCATCAAACGAACATGAAACCAACAACCAGATCATCGATATCATGTGTAAAAACCAACCACTCGGTTGACCCACCCGGGTCATGCTTCAGGTCGAGCAGCGGAACAAGTCCTGGGATGTCTTCTACCTGCCGTCCCCGTTGTTCCAAAAAGGTGACGGAATTTACCTGGTGATTTCATGATTTCATGGGATTTTCGCTGTGGATGATTTTGATGATAGCTAAGTTAGCGAATACAACTACAAAAACTATGGTTTATAATAGGTATAACATGTTATAACATGTTATAACTCTAGTTCATGGGGTTTACCAACAAACTTATGTATCACTGGGGGGGGCCACAATGAATAAATGCCTTAATTCGGGCCCTTGGGGCGGGATATTTCATGAGAAAATCATCTACAAATGGGATCTCTCATCAAATACAACTATTCAATTTGATACTGGTTGGTGATCTTAACCATCTTGAAAAATATGAAAGTCAATGGGAAGGATTATCCCATATATTATGGAAAATAAAAAGTGTTCCAAACCACCAACCAGTGATATTCTGGTAGGCAACTGAAAATGGGTAAACATCACCAGTTGTGGCCAAATTCAAGTTGGGAACATGATGATTGAGCAACTTTGGGGGTACGGAGGGTTCTTTCCTGTGGAATGAAGCAAGAAAAATAGGGACCTCACAGGAAACAACAAGGGTTTCCTGTAGCACCAACTGATTAAACTGGCAAATAGTTGGATGGGTGGAATGAAACCAACTTACAGCTTAGGGACCCACATTTGCCAGGTATCAGAGGCAAGGTTGGTCATGATTTTTATATATGGTGTCTTGGGTTGGGCGCATGACACGTTTTGATCCACCAAGCATATTTTTTTCTATGCAGGGGTTCACTTTGCAGTAACCATCCTGATTTTGATCATCACTACATCATATGGACTTTAAAAATTACTTGAGCTTAAAGTTTCAATATTGATTCATTGTTAATATATACCCAAACCCAAATAACCTGAATTAAAATTTAAACCCCAGTAGATTGAAATATCCACAATCTCTCTTAACTGCAGAAAAAACTGGAGTTTGTCTGAAATGGGCACCCCAAACCCCAATGGTTTGGGTCCTGATTTTCCCTATGCAAATGGTCATATGTCGAAGTAAGTCCCTCATTTTCAAACACACCAAAAATATGAAAAAAAACATATGGTTGTTTAATTGCATCTTATAAAAAACAAGAACAAACAAACGTATTTATGTGTGTTTATAGATGGGTTTTCCATGAAATATCCGCTGATAAAACCTATTTCAGACGCACCCACAATCTCCCATGGTTCAATTTCATTGCCGATTTTTGATCTCCATTGTCCCCACCAACAAATTCCACTATAGTTGATGGTTCAAAACATCAAACAAAACATTACAAAAAAAAAACATCGAAAATTGAACAGTCAAGTTGCTTGATGTAGTTTTATCATGTTTTATCATGTTTCACCATGCAGACATACCCAGACAATCAAGTGGTGATGTTTCAAAAAAAACACAGCTGGGTTCCCGGGTCCCAGACCTCCAGGTCGGATTCTCTCGGCGAATTTCCAAAGCGTTCCTTTGGGACACCTCGGGTGTGGAGCTGGGGGCCCCCGGGGGAACGTGGGCCCCCGGGGGAACGTTCCGGTGCGTCGAAATGGTGTATTTTTAAAACTATTGTTGTTTATGTGTTTTAGGATCAATGTGAATGTATTATATATATATATATATATTCTAAATGATTCTTATATATTCATATTGGTGCGTGATGTTGCTTGGGATACTGGAAGGTGTTCCTGGGAGTTCGCTGACGTATGGCGTGGCTATGCATACCGCTTGTCCTGCTGGCCTTTTCACTAACCAACCTAGATATAGGGCGTTCCTCTGCATCACCCACAAAAAACCAGGTAGAGAAGTTGTTTGAGTAGTTAAGAGATAGCATGAAAAACATTTTAGAAGTGTTTTGCAAAAAGTTAAGTGCGTGGCATCAAGTGTGTGCTAGAAATTACTTGAAAATCAAGAGCATAGATTGAAGAACATTGTAGAAATTATTTGAACAAGTTCAGATCGTAGCATCAGGAGCGTGTTGGAAACTACTTGCAAAAGTTCAGAGCATAGCATCTAGAGTTTGCAAAAGTTCAGAGCATAGCATCTAGAGCGGGTTGCAAATTACTTGAATTAAGTACAGTTAAAATATCGGTCTACCATCGGGGCAGTAACAGTGACCACAAGCCAGGGGCACAAAATGAGCACCAGCCAAATGCAGAATATAAGGGTCTAATCTGGCGATATCATATGGATAGATCTTTATACCAAATCGAAAAATGGACCAAGTAGACACCATGGCATGTCGAAATTATCAAATGGTTGAAAACATGTTTCTTGTCAATCGGAAGGCATCAAGTTACAAAGGTTTCTTATTCTCTCTTCTCGGCCCTGGCTGCGAAAGGAACTGGCCAACTTGTGACCAACATTCCATTGGAAACCTTAGCAACAAGGACTTCCTTAGCAATGGCAGCCAGCAGCAACAACAACAACAACCACCACCACAACAACCACCACCCACCACCACCACCACTACCCACCAGCACCACCACCCACCAGCACCACCGCCAGCAGCACCACCACCACCAGCGGCCAGCTCGGCTGGTGCTCAAATTGTGCTCGGCTGGTGCTCAATTTTTTTTTTTTGTGGTCCCTCTGGTGCTCGTTTTGTGTTTTTTGGCACCTTTCCTTTCCATCTTTCCTAGGCTGATTATTCCTTTTGCAGTTATTTTTGCGGTCTCCTTGTGTTTTTTGTGTTTGTTTTTCTCGTTTTTTTGCGCTCTTTTGTGTCTGCTTGTGCTGGTTTTTGGCGGTTGTACCTAAGCGTCAATGAAGTTTTTTGATTTAGGGTTCAGATGGGCTCAGGATTTAGGATTTAGGGCTTAGGATGGTTGCCAAGTTGCAAGTGCTACAGCACATTGCGGTACATTGTGCCAGTTGTATCAAGCGGCCGGATTCTTTCACAAAATGTTGTTTTTTTCCCTTTACCAATCCATCCTGCCCTTGCGAGGGCGGGCGCGAGTGAGACTGAGGGTTATTCTTTGCTCCGATGCAGACGCTGGCTCTCACAACCTCTTGCTCACACCTTCTCAGGGTAACACGTGAATGAATTGTCTATAGTCTGCACTCTTCTTTTCTCAATTTTCAACAATCACTTCGCCATGGAATGCAACTGATATGCTTGAAAGTGAAGCCCCTGTCTTGAATTCAGAAACCTGCATCAGGGGGTTGGAGGGCAGGTTTGTATTTTTTTTGGCACCTCTAGCCGAGATATTTGAAGCAATTTCCTTTTGCTCGTTTTGAATGTAGGCTAAGGGATATCATTTATCTACTGTTACTGTGCGCGGGTCAGATCGAAGTTATAACTGGTTATTTCTATGGGATTATACATTTTCTAAATCAGGGTGACTTGTTAATACTTATAACTGGTATAACTCGGGCCATAACTGTAGATTAATGGAATTGTAATTCCATGATACTGGTTGGTTTGTAGGGATTCGCCTATTGGATTATTATAATCCCCAATATATTCGGTAGTGTAATCCCCTATAATCACCAACCAACAGGGTGGGGGACACTGCTCAGGTGATGTCAGCACCACACAGGGCACAAGAACGTAGCCCATATTTTGAACAATATATATATATATATGTGTGTGTATGTGTGTGCACATATTTGCGGGGTACAACTAACCAACAGTATGATATCGGGTGCGTCGGAAAATGAAGAGCTCACCTCCTAGTTATGGTCATTTGTAGACGAGAAAATGGGGTTCTAACCGTTCTAACCTATTGCGATTGTAATTGATGTTCGGGGTCCGGGGTAGACTATTTTCAGAGAAACTCAGATGGGCCATAAAGTTAGTTCACTGGTGTTTTTTGTGGTTGTTTATAAACAATGAAAAACATGGGTGCCGCATATCGCAAATTCTTCAAAATAATGTAAAATGGAACCTGCAACTTTGGCAACGGTGCCACTAGAAAATATTCCATTCCCAGGCAGCTTCAAGTCCTATTCGCATAAAAGACAGCCAAATGTAGTCCAAGTGTTCCTGGTTCATATCCCATACAGGCAGGAAATGTGGTCAGGCAAGGGGATGCACATATCACTTCCCATGCATTGTGGGGGATTGTAGGCCACAGTCACTTGCCATTGAAATCCAAACCGGTCTTCACAGAACTTGGAACCTAAACCCTATAAGAACTAGAAGTCGTACATTCATGTACATTCCACAATGTGGCCATCGCTTTAAGAACCCCATGAACTATAGTTATATTTTTCATAAACCATAGTTGGAGTTCTGAACTAACTTAGCTATCGTTTGGGATGACCCTTTGTGGGTATAAATCACACATAATTACAAACACATTTTCGGAGGCTTCCCTTCCCAGCATTTTTGATCCTGTTGCTCCGGAAAATGAATGGGTTCACTTTTTTTAATCAGGGGTTGATGGCAGACCCAGAAAAAAAACGTGCCCGGACATTTCCATGAACAAGTGTCCAAGATATTTTTGAATCACTTCTTCTTTGAACTTCTGCAACTCATTGGCTCCACAGTTGGCATATTTTCCTCGGCAGCGAACCATTTGATCCATTTCATTCTGAAATGTTGAAAGGGTCCTATCCAGAAAGGCGCTGTGTCGCATCAAAACCTCATGATGATTGGTTCAACCATGTTAAAGGGCATGGAAATGGAAAACCATTGACACTACTAGGAACCATTGACAATACTAGGAAAAATATATAGTAATAAAAGTGGGAGTAGTTGTTGTTGTGGTCGAAGAAGTGGTGGCTGTCGTGGTGGTGGTGGTGGTGGTGGTGGTCGTCGTCGTAGTAGTATAGTAGTCGCCGTCGTCCTCGTTGTCGTAAAATGAAGAAACAATCTAGTAGTCTGAGCATTTTTGCAGATTATGAAAAAATGCCAGGAAAAATGCTATTTGGTGTGATCCCAACCGTGGCAAAGAATTTGACGTATATGTTCTCTTACATTTTCAAATTGATGTGACTATGGGTCAAATTCGGGTACCGCTATGATGAGATTAAATATAAATTGTGAACATATACTAAAATCTGTGGTTCCTTCTGTTTTTTAATTGACCCACCCCCATGTGTTTCCACATGTTTTCCATAATTTTCACATTTTCCCCATCGATTTTCCCATGACTTCGCCGTTCCACATGCCGTTCAAAGTTTCCACCTTTCCTGTGGCCAAAGGAGAGCAGCGAGTCCTCAGGGAGAAAACCGTGGGATTTCATGAACACCCAGAAAATAGTTTGAGAAATTTATGTCGATTGTATGATGGCGTGAGCTAGTTTTTTCCAGGAGAACTGCCAGGTACCTTTCTAATTTTCTGAAATCGGGCGCTAGTGCTCGTCTGGCTAGACCTTCAAGTACAAATAGAACTAAAAAGTCAGCAAACGTGATGACAACTGGGCATCAATAAACTCCAGTGTTGTTGAGACTTGCAGGTATTCACCATTTGAAATGTAAACTATCCAAATCATTAATTGAGAGCCAATGATTTGACTCATTTGCAAAAGAACTCCCCCAAATATCGAGATCAACTTTGTTTTTCAATCTGACATCGAGATTCTCCACTTATTGTGTTCATCATCAGGGGGCATTGATCCACAATGACAAACCCCCTAACCGGTCATTTGAACCATTCCAGAGACTCTTACCCCGCATCGTCACCTAATTACCGTGCGTCATTGACTGAAATTGACCACGAAACTTGAACCGAAGAATGTGTGTGGTCAAAACCAAATCCGCCAAAAAAAAATATATACAAATTCATTCAACCATGAACGCCTAAACTTGCACGGTCTAAAGCTGTAAATATCCAAACGTGTGCGTGTGCATGTGTTTGCTCGTTTTTGCATGTCCCAGGGACAGGGCAGTGACAGGGTTCCGTAACCCTCCCACATACATTGCATCAATCACATCAGATGTGCCAGACGAGTTTCTGCAAAGTTGTCGAGGAGCGTCGACATGTGATCCAGCATTTGCATTTGCAAAGTGCATTCATCAAACCTGGGCTGCCAAACTGGGAACACCAGCCAGGCGCATGGGCAAATAGCATGCCACGCATCGTGCACCTGTACAATTGGTCTTCGGGCTGCAATGACATGCACATTCGGTTGCACATGGTCACATGGTTTTTGCTTGCCACACCATAGCCACACATAGTTCCAGATTGAGGAACAAAATCCAAGGCCCCCAAGCCCCTCAAGTTTTCTCACGCGTTGCAATTGTTTTTTCGCGAAGATTGTTCATTCATGCAAAGGTGTTCAGGGATATCTTTGGCCCTCGGATACAAGGAATGGAATACCGGGCTGGCTCGCATATCTTCGGTTACCCCGAACATGGCAGCACTAAGACCTTCCAAGTATATACTGAGGAAAGTGACTCTTTAGCCCACCTTAGCAAGTACATTGCCACAATTTGCTATAGGTTTTTCGAGGTTGCAGGTCGATATTGTGATTGGGTCAAATGTTTTTTTTGTGCTACAAGTGTGTTGTGATCGCCATAGAAGATTTTTTTTCATACCCGGGTCTTGCACAGCTTGGCTTGAACACGCACGCCTCATAACCAATAACCCTACCGTCCCGATTTCGACTCACAGACACAACGCGCCCGATCTGTGTTGGCGACCTTGCACCTGGCACTTCTGTTTACTACTGCGCCGCTTTGTCGTAAAGTTCTGAAGCAAGGCCACGGGCATCTTGCACGGGTAAGATCACAAGATAACCTGCGCCAGCACCTTGGGTTTTCAACTTTGGCCATGTGGCCATGTGCGCCTGGGGGGACCGAACCAAAGCTCCAAGAGATGCAGCTCAGGTATGTAAGCACCTACTGTAATTTTCAAATCTTGGACATGTCATCATGAGCATGGGTTCACAGCGTTAAGCAAACTGCTGATTCCATCCAGGGCCTGCAGAACCTGTGCACCGATAGCTTGCTCTTTTGTCACTATGTGTATTTTACTTGTGTCAGTCATGGACTGCGAAACATGGAACCCTTAGTCAATCCAATACTGTGCACATCCGATAAGCACAATATTTCAAGAATTGAATTAATAACATTAATATACATTAATAACCTTCCCGAAATAAAGCATGCTAACATTTCTTTGACGGGCCATCAAATGTCGTTCATTTTCAAAATCAGTGTGCAAGTTCAAATTCCGATTAGTCAACTCAGACAACTCAAAGTCAATTGATGTTCTGTTCTCACCTCGAGTCTCAATTCAATTCTGTTTTCACGAAGACTCGTTTTCTCCACCCATGAAAACAATTGAAAACAGTCCAGGCGAGTCTCAGGAGTGCAAACACAACGGCTAGCTTAAAAAGGGGTCTGACATGGTCGAGCACCGATTTCTGCAGTTATGGCCATTTATTAGTTGTAACTGGCTATTTCTATGGGAGTTTACATTCTATAAATGGGGTTTGATTATATAGTACTTATAACTCGTAAAGGGTTGGCTTTCTGTATGTTTACGAGTAGGGCGACTAAACCATAGGAAAACCCCTTCAAAGCATGGAAAATATGGTGATTTATGAGAAAAATGTGATTTATGGGAGGTACCCTCTGGTAATTTAACGGTTTGCTATTGAAAATTGCCATTTATTATCTGAAAGCAGCGTTGTGAGCGCCCACGTTTTGGGCAGTCTCCTTTTGCCACTTTTCTCCATCCAGAAAAAAATATGGCTGCACTTGTCACTTCAACATTGCATCTCCCACAGGCAAACCCCAAGAACAAAATTCCCTACACAAAATTAAACTCCATAACTGAAAACCGAAAAAGCCAAAAAAAAAAACAAAGATTCCAGAGAAAGGTTTGGGGGGCTCATAGTTGCTGGATCTTTGTTTTTTTTGTTTTTTTTTGTTTTTTTTTCGGTTTTTGTGCTGTTTTGGTGGTTTTGCTTATTGTACCGCCTGTCTATAGGGGTGGTTTTACCTTGAAAATGTTTTCTCCATTGCTGCCGGTCTCTCCTTCCCACTGCCGTGGCATGAAGCCAGCGTTGTTGCTAGCTACCTTTACATTGTCATGGCACTACGGTGGCTCACTTCATAGCTTTACGCTTACGGGTGGTAGCAGTGGACCTTCGGGTGATGTACTTCGGCATGGTCTCCAAATTTTGGTTCCAAAATCGGATGCTCTCCTGCACCCAGAAGCGGTGACTGTAAGGGTTCATCGCGTTGAGGGCAATTTTTTTCTTCCGAATCCATGCGTTGAAGACTTCAGACATATTGGTGCGGACCTTGGCCAATCGTTTCTTTTCATTTCTTGTGAGTTTTTTCTTGGAGCATTTGTGGTTCACTCTGTGGAATTCATCCACTACATAATGGCGAATAGGTTTGAAAGTCTTGAGAGCTTGGCTGATCAAGGCACCTGGCCAGCCGAAGATTGGAGAGGGCTTGTTTCTCAGTTCCTTGGTTTGCCACCGCAGCTGCGCCATTTCGCAAGAAGATCTTGGAGCAGTGCGCAAAATGTAGTTGAACCCTTCATCGATTTCGGCGTCCTCCTTGTCTTCGAAAGGCATGCTCGTTTTCGACTGGCCCCTACGGGTAGCTTGCGAGGAGAGATCAAAGCACCTGAAGGCATGGCCTCCCAGATTTTCAAAGCAGTACTGCAAGATCTTCCTTCCAACCTTGGGGTTGCTCTTCATGAACAAGGGCCGGTAGGGAGATCCGAAGCAGATTTGCTGGACAAAGGACACTTTCACCTTGTCAGGGAAGGACACATGCTTCAAGATAGCCTTCTTTCCATCAGGCTGCTTCAGGATGGCTATCTGAATGGTTGTCTCCTTTGGGCATGCAGCCTTGAGACCAAAGGGTGCAGGAAGAAGTGCAATATCTTTCTTCTCACACGCCAGTTTGTAGGAAGAGGAGAGGCCAAAGAAGTCGATGTCATCGGCATGGTCGACAATCAAATCAAAGTAGTGGACGCCGGGGTTCTCTGTGCCTTCCACTTGAGTCATGGGGAAGGTCATGAGAGTGAAGGATCCAAGAGGCACTTCTGGAAGAACCAAGGGTGAGATGGATCTGCATGAAAGGGAGTCCACAAGTTCCTTCAATTTGCCGTAATCCATGTTTTCAGCTTGCATGGCCATGACGAACAATGACGATGATATTGACGCTATTTGGTGGCTGGAAAAGGCAACAGTATACATATTGCTTACAGACTTGGACACACATGCCAGAAAATGCTCAAAACGTAGCACTTTTTTACGAGATTTGTGGGCGCTGAGAGCGCTGGCCTCTCTTTATTATAGTTGATTTACCCATTAAAAATCGTGATTTTCCATAGTTATGTCAACGTTTTCCAGAGGGTAAATGCTGACTTCACTAAGATCTCGTGATTTCATGGGGCTGATTTATGATAGCGCCTGCAGGCTGCCCGAAAAAGCCGCTTTTCGGGCCTATGGAGATGGGATTCACTCACTGTAAGGTGATAAATCTCACTTCAATGAGTTTGTTTTTTGCCAGTTATACTGGTTGGTAGCTTTAAAACCATCTTGAAAAATATTAGTCAATGGGAAGGGTTATCCCATATATTATCGGAGGAAGTTTAGAAGTCAAA